TACGAACACCTATCTCGTGGGCGTAAAAAGTCTGCTGACCTTGAACTTTACCGCGGCGTACAAAGTCTGCCCGTGCGAACGCACGCTTACACTTTGTATTTGTCAAATCTTGTACTTCTTCGTATATATCATTTTTTTGACGTAAACATTTTATAAATCGGTGACGGTGCGCGAAAAATCATGACGTAGCTTTGACCCGCGTATCCATTCTCGTGGAATTAAAAAAAAAGTAGCCTTATTGTTCTTCCAAACTAACCTCTACAATTAAGCCAAATTTCATCAAGATCCGATCAGTCGTTTGGACTACAAACTCCAACAAACATCCATCCTAATTTTCGCGATTTCAATATTATAGTAAGAAGTAAGATAATAAGATTATCCCTATCCGGCAAATAGAGCGTGCAAGCGAGAAGCAAGGTCGGCATAAGAGTTCGAAGCTGTATTTATTTCTATTATGGAATTGCATTTAATATTCTCCAGTTACCGAGCGTTTTTACAATGGCAATTATAAAAAGCAGGGATTAATTTGTCGAGTGAAACGATCGTAGAATTCCTCTCCGCGCAGTAATCCGGACAAGTGCATTAAGGCGCCGCTGAATCGCTCTTAATCGCTGCCACCATCCAATATTTCTTGATTAAGAGATCGTAAAAATGTCGTCTCGCTCTGATTTACTGCCGGCGAGCGAGAGAAACGATTAGCTCGCGGTTTGTACGACACGGGGGTACGTGATGAATCTACTTTAATATTGTCTTGGAAGTGGGAACGTTTCGGAAAACTTTGTTATATTATATCATCGTTTTACTTCTTCTTGTTTTATTTCTTATGTTTATTTGATTGAAAGGAAAATAGATTTTGAGTCATAAAAGCTAGTTTGACGTACAAGAATCTATGAGCCTTGGTTTAAAAAAGATAATGACTAATGATGTCACTCTCTTTCTCTCTAACGCTATCTCTCTCTGTAAAATAAAGATAAATCGTTATATAATATTTATGTATAATTTCCTTATGTAATATTTCACAGTAAGAATAGTAAATTGCCACAGCTTAGGCCACAAATGTGCCATTAAAACTTTTCGCGTAGAGAAATATCGTGTGCAGTTGTGCTGGTAGCTGTTTATTTTGTCGCAGGATAAAGTCACATATTTCAGCGTGCAGTTTGCACCGAACTTTCCGCGCCCCGCACATCCACGCCCACTGAATTACTTATCTTTGTTCCCGCACCGATATATCACCAGCAAGGATATATTACATTCAGCGGAATATATTGCAACACGAAATTCGACGTTTCAACCTTTGGGATATTTGATTTGACATATTTATATTTTTACGTCTTTTCTTTACATTAAGATTAGACACTTTTACTTGAAGTGTTCAACGATCACATTTTATATTTCTTTTAACTACTGCAAAGATACAAGAAACCTTACGGAAGTCGTAATCTATACTAATACTATGAAGAAAGGGTTTGTTTGTTGGTAGGTTTGCATTGAAAAGGCTCCGAAACTAATAAACCGATTTAAAAAATTCTTGCACTGTTCGGAAACTAGACTATCCTAGAAAGACATAAGATGTATTTGTTACTATATTATTTTTAATAAGAAGTATCATTAGGTATACAATCATAAAATGGTGGCATTAAACAAATAACCTACGAAATATGAACGCTAATACAAGTGTTCATACTTTAATTCTTCGCGAGCATATAATGAACGTCGATATTTCACGTTGCGGGGGCGGTAAAGTATCTCTCTCGGCGCCGTATCAGCCGGAATGTGCCATTCGGACGTGGTAAGTGCCACAATTTATACACACTTCTTCCGTGCACTCTATCGCACGGTACAAGCGACAAGCGACATCGACAAGAAATGTTTGGGAGTTATAGTTGCATCAAATGACGTAGTATATTGTATTATGCCGCTATTCCTTAATGGTACACACAGGAGAGAGAAGACAAATATAAACATTTGCATCCTTTAGTATAGATAGAACTCGATTGGCGAACACGATAATGCATTAGATCACAGTATGCTTTTCTAAACACTTACGAATTAAGGACCTGCAAAATTATTCTTTCATGGTATTTATACATATACACGTGTCTTATGTTAAATACTTAGTTTCATTATTAATTAAGCAGCAAAAATCTGTAAACTAATAATGTAAGAACGCTTCCGCTTATGATTTACGTCGCAGTATCACTCACAATATTTTACGGATGCCGGACATTTTTATAGGTATTTAGCGAAAACGTCGCCTCTACGGGGCAATTTGAAACTTGTTTGCGTGGCCAATTTACGAGGAAAGTTAATTTGAAACGTCGTGTCGTCTCTTTTGTTTGCAAGGACGGTAATGGCGTGACGTCGTCGTTACTTACACTCTCTGGGGAATAGTACGACCAGCTCTCTAGAGACCTAATCTACAGCTCCGCTAATGTAAACATAGCTTTTAAAATTAACTTATTTAAACGACAAATACAAAACGAGCTGCCAGTTTACCTGATTGTAAGTGAATACAAGAAGTAGTTAGAAGTAAATTGAAAGCGCCCTCTCCAATGTTGGTATATATGAGGACACCGCAATCTATACTTCTGGGAAGAAATTTATCACTAACTGCGTTCGCGCGGAATTAAAAGCAAACTTAATAAGCCTACGTGTTCTATTTCTCTGCTTAATTCCATCGAGACCAGTTCAAAGATTTTGAAGATCATATATACAACCGTCTCTCCATCCCAATATATACATTTATGATAGCGTATAAGTTATATGCATACGTAAACCAGCTGAATAACAAAGTAATCAAAACATCCAAAAAAAACTGTTTAGTTTTCATAAGCATTTCAAAATGTAGATTAAAACCAAATCGACATTTCTTTGTGTTCAAAAGAAGCTTAATAAAAACACGATCATCCCGCGTCGCTCTCCTTTACGCGGCAAATTACTATAAAAACCTTTGAATCCTTTTATAACCCTCGACGTATTTCATCACTTGTCAAACAAATATAACAAACAGCTGTCAAAACGTAACTCCAATTATTACCTTCCTTATTCTCTGAGCACTAAAGTTGATATTTATAGTAGATGTGAGTTATTGAATAGCAAATAAAATTGGTAATCACCTCGGGAGCGAAACATGTCACCCGTCAATAACATATTCACGACGTTTGATGTAAAATAGCATCTTTTTTTCGTTCAGTTTTGTTCCGTCCCCTGAGGTGTATCGAATTTTGACACGATCCTTAGTGAGGGCCCGCTTTTTGGAATCCATTAGAGTGTCGATTACGAACGCCTTTGGGATTGTGTATTCGTACAAACAAAAAGCCTTGAAGAATATAATCTCACCAAAAAGTGGTAAAAATAACGACCTCGACCCACAAGTATATACAGGAAACTCAAGAATATCAAGAAAACTGAAAAATATGCACATTTATTAATATTTAAAGTACTTTACTTATTGCGCCTTAGAATAAGGCTTTTTTAATACCGTAGGCATGTTTCATATTTTACATAAATTGACGTCATCTAAAACTTAATCTAACATTAATCTCCAACAGAATTGCACTGAAAATTAAATTTTAAAACTAAAAAGTTACGCCATCAGAAAGTGTTTCGTAATTCAATAGAAACATGTTCCACCGCGCGGCGCTCCATTTCGGAACAGCCAGCGTCAGACAATACAATTTTACGAGGGACAAACAATGGCGCTAACAGCGTTCCTCCGGCGCTCCCAAATAAAAAGATACGTAAACGAAAATGCCAACGGCATTTGGAGCGCGGGGAGGCTGGGGGAGGAAGGCTTTACTACTTCCGGCGACAAGATGGCGGCATCGCGCGCAACAGGAAGCTGCGGCGTAGCACGACACGATAAAACACCTCGCCGGAGATGTACACCCCGCGACACAAGTTTTAACTTATGTTTCAATGCGATTGTACCTTTGTTTGTAAAAGGTATACTATAGGATATTTTATTTTACAAATAATCTCTAACATGTTGCTTTGGAAAAAACTTATCGTTTTTATTTTATGACTTAAAAATACTTTTTCGAATGCCTATGATAGTGCAAAAATTATCAAAAATAACGAAACGTCCGTAGATTATCACAATCTGTCTTATAAAAAAACCCAACAACTTTTTATACTCTACCAAAACAATGTTGTCCATTGTACAGATATCAGAAGATGTTACTTACAAAAACATACTCAAACAAGGCCACACAGAGCAGATTTTTCATTGTCGTAATGTAAAGTTGACAATATGAAAAACAAATCCTTTTAAAGGGGTTAAACTTCAACAACGTGTTACTTAAAAGTAAACCTTCAAGTATGTTCTTAAGGATAGTTTTTCTTTTCTTTGGATGTGTGATATGTGGTCTATATGGGAGTAATGTTGAAAAGTAAGCACCGCGGGCGCCCTCTGACGTAGAATCGGTTATTTCCCTCATCGGGTGTGATGTAGCGCTTTCCGCAGCCGGTGATAACGTCTAATAGTGATCGTTTGCCCTTCGCCGGCTCCCAATGGCTCATCAAACTTTCCACCTTTATACAAAAATGATTTATCGTTTGTATAACATGAACAGATATATTTTTTACTTGTTTTTTAATAAGAGAAACAAGCAATCGATTTCCACGGACATCACAGGAACTAGTGCTTTGCCGGATTTGGAGAAAGATAGGCTCGCTTTTTTAATTTACTTAGGACACTAGCATTGTAGTTTGCTTAACTTTTTGGCATGTCAGATATAGATAGAAAATACTACATACCATAGCCAACTGGATTATTAGATATTTATAACTTAAAACACATTTCTCATGTTTATCTAAATTTCAGTAATGAGTGATTATTATTTTCACAAATGGAAGGTTGTGCTGATAGAGCTAAAAAATCATGCCAAACTAGACTTGGATTATCAGGTACTTAGATTAAATAATATTCCGATAATACAAGTAATATAATAACTAACATTAGAAGCAGGTTTGTAATGAAGTTACGAAATTTCTTTTTACATTGCAGGAAACAAAAGTATATGATCAAAGGTGCTGTGAAGCGGTCCAGCGCTTGGGAAGTGTGCTGTCCAAATACCTGTACCTCTACAACTGCAGTGTGGACTGCTTGCAGGAGAACCTTCAAGTACAGAAGACTGACTACATACAGAATATTGTCAATGCAATCACTGCGAGGTAAATATTATACTCGTAGTTTATTACTCTGTATCTTGCTTTTTAATCTTAATTCTGTTCCTTCAATGACAATCAATGGAGATTTTATCTTTAACTTATTAAAAACCTACGTCGCTGGCTTAAAATTCATGAATTGTTTTTAAGCAAAATTATTTCTTGTTTTGACAACTTTTTTACGACTATAGAACGCTGTAGAATATCTTTCAGGATACTAGAACTAAAACATCAACTTCGAAAACTTGAAGGTTATTATTATCAATACTTTAGCAACGGATTATTCCAACATGGACTCACCTTTGATGACATTGACCCTATAGATGTACCTGCTAAATTAATAAGATCTAAGCAAGTTCAGGCTGTTATTGATCACATTATGTCAAAAGCTAAGGAGGAGAAAGAAACTTGTTTAGAAGAAGGTAGTTAAAACTGATATTTCTCGAGTATTTTAATTCAAATAAATATAACGTCTAATACTGTTAAGTTGCTGAAGAAGAAAAGTTGTCTCCAATAAATTCATTTTTACGTTTCTGGAAAAACGATAGTGAAATTGACGAGGTTGAAAAAGAACAATCAGAAATTGTTCCACAGCTTTCCGAAGAAAGTCTCAAAAGAAGAGAAATGTTAAAACTCATACAAGCGCATGAGAGAACCCGGTGAGTTGCTTCCAAACTGAATAGTCTTGAGATTTTTTAAATTATAATTGATTTTATATTTTAGTCAAGTTATACGATCTGATACAAGAAGGATATTTAAAAGAGACAAATGGGAAAGAGAGTTAAAAGGTACTTCGAAGCCACAAGCAAGATTTGAAGTAAAAGAAAGAGCGGCAACAATTATTAAGAAAGTGTTTAGGTACTTAACTGGAATTCTAATTGCAAATATTGCTTTATAATTTGAGAAAACGATATAAAATCAGGGTAACGTAAAATATTCTTTTCAGGATGTATTTCGAGATAAAAAGACGTAGATTTAGACAATTTAAAATTGACGAAATGATTGGCTTTAATCATGGCGGCAAACCAAATTATGTAGAGAAATTAAAACATGATACGGTACGATCCAATATTTACTAAAGTAAAGTCAAGTTTGATTCGACTATATTATAAAAATTACAGATAAGAAATCAACGCCTTGATAAACAAAAACAATACAAAGAAGAAAGTTTGTCAAATATGGAAGCAATCGAAAATAGTTATTTGAAACAAACAGAACATAATATTGCAGACGATTACAGAGACTTAATAAGAGGATGGTTTAAAAAATGGTATAATGTGAAAGAAATTTTGTATGTATTTTTTTGATTCTCGATTTTAAAATTGTAAATTATTTAAAGGTATGCAGAAGTAAAGTTTTTCTATGATATACCAAAAGAAGAACTAGGTGGATCTTCTTTGATTATCAAAGAAATGGTTCCTACTCCATTCGAATGGCGAGAGGAATATGAAGCCTACTTACAAGAAAAAAAACTAAATAAAAGCAAAACAAGTGCTCAGGTATTTACTTGTTTTATATTCAATAACGTATTTTTATTATACTTAGTTTACTAAGATTTATTTTGTAGAGAAAGTTCGAAAAACAAGAAGCAAAGAAGGAACAAATGAAAGTAAAGAAGGAGGAGCAAAGAAAGTTAAAGATGGAACAAGAACTAATAAAGAAGATGTTTAAAAATCCCAAGTTACATCCCGGTTTTTGTTATCCAATGTCGAAGAAAACAGATAACATTTTAGAAGTTGGTCAATTATATTATTAACTACAAAATTAAACTTATCGTTTTTTTTAAAAAAAACCATGTTTTAGGCAATCGAAAAGTATAAAAACGATTGGAATGATTTTGATACTTGGGAAACAGAAGGTTACAAAGAGGGTTTTGTGCAAGCAATAGACCATGATAATGCATGTATGAATACCAAATTGAAAATATTGAAAAAAGTCGATGAAGACATGAGGTTAATCTTACTAATATTACAAATGCTAAAGTTTAGACGGATGGATGCTTTCAAGTGTTTCTAACGTAAACGGCTGAAGGGATCTCGATGAAATTTGGCATAGACAGAGGATAGTCTGGAAGGACACATAGGCTACTCGCTTTTGTTTTTTTAAATTCCACGCGGATGAAGTCACGAGCGAAAGCTAGTACTTAAATAAAGTTACATTATAAACTTGAAGTCTTCACAATAATGACATCATTTTACCATATGTATATAAACATCTCTAAAGTAACTAACATTATTTCTTTAAAATTTCCTTAACCTCTACAATAATTTACATAATAAGTCTGCATTTGCACAGCTGAGTTAACAATAAAAATATAATTACAAACTATTTTAAGTCTCTTCGTCTCTTTTGTTCCTACGAAATATTTCAGACAAGAGCTCCAGGTTTTGAAATGTTCTTTACAATCAGAATACAAGAGGAACAATGAAAAGATGCCGGAAAATATGAAAGTTACACAAAAGAAAGCAAAGAAACAAAAAGTTGACTCCACAATATCTGAAAGCGTACAAGAAAAAATGCAGGTAGAGATACAAAAGGCAATAACGATTATTAAATGATACCAAAAGTTTAATAAAATTTTGTATAGGAACTAGCATCGGCGGGCTACTTGAAACAAAATACAAAGATGAAATTTGAAGATTTTGTAGGAGATTTCAATTACGTAGGAGATGAACTTCGTTGTATTTTACAGTAAGTAAATAAACCAAACAACCTGTTTTGTAATTAATTAAGGTCACCATTGAATTTAATTGAAAATCTTACGAAGTCTACCTTTTCAGAGCTGCAGCACCTCTGTGTGGTGAAACTCGGTTCCTCTGGTGGGAGAAGTGTGGCGAAGTGGTGCTTGGTAGCCGGAGACTCCTACTTGTAGGGCCACGGGGCAGCGGAAAGACTTTGTTAGTGAACATACTCACATCTGTTAATAGTAAGTGTAAAAACGTGTAAATAAAACTACCTACTATACGTCATCATCTCCTCTACCTTGTCCTACGCCCGTAGTGTGGGTTCATAGTCTTCGTCCTCCGAATAACTATCATATGTCATCTCAGTCACTCCCTTCTTGATCACGTCACCTTTCACGCAATCCATCCATCTCTTTCCAAGTCCACCTCTATCGGTGTACCACATTCATAACTAACGTCCTTGTTACATGCGGTTCATTCCTTCTCATACATGCCCATACCATGTTATCTACTATAAGTAATATGTAAAATGTAAATTTGTCTAGATGCATTATTATTCGAGCTGGATCCAGCAAACGTCTCACCAGATCAGATATCGGCGGAATATCTCAAGCAAGTTGTGGGTTCAGTTGTAGCTTGTGCTAGAGCGACACAGCCTGCTGTGATACATCTCAAGGGTCTGCATCTACTTTATTGTAATAAGGTACAATATTTAAATACTAGTTTTCGCCCTTGACACCGTTCCTTGTAGTATTATTCCAGACTATTCTCTACATCTATGACAATCATCGAAATCCTTTCAGCTGTTAGACTACAAACTCTAACAAACATCCATCCATCTAAACTCTCGCATTTATAATATTAACTAGTAAGATTAAATGCATCTAAATATTTCAGGTACCACCAGACCAAAAGAAACAAAACTTGAATATGTTTACACAATTTTTTGTGAGAATGTTGTTTAAAAAAATACACAAGAATGATCCGATTACTGTAATAGGTAATATCCACTTTCTAATTCTAAAACGAGCTTCTATTTTTAACTAGACAATCAAAATTATTGTTTTATTTCCCTAGGCAGTTGCCGCGATCCTTGGTTGACGAAGACAAGCAAATTGTTAAAAAACTTTCCGGATGTTGTCATGATGCCGCACACCACTTATACTACTGTTTCTTTTATCTTAAGGAAATGGATGGCTGAGTAAACTTATATAATTATTTAAACCAACATCCTTAGTACCTTAAGTCACAGACCGAGCCCCTTAGCAATCGTAATGCGGCAATCAAGTCTGTTATTTTAATTTTCTACTCTATCTCATTTGTTTAATAAAACCTTAAATCGTTACAGCAATCGCGTGGTCCCACGTGATCTAAACACGCAGAGCATCGCACACCTCCTGCAAGAATACACGTTCGGACATATCAAAAATGCACTCGACTGTTTCTTGACGCCTGACAATATTATAAAGTAAGTGTATACAATAATATTGAGATTAAATCATATGATACTGAATTAGTATTTGTTTACAACTAAAATAATAATGTGACTGTTCACAAACTGAACTCCAATGCGACAACGCAAATATATCGAACGTTCCGTTGTGACGACTAGTAAAACACAGCTTGTTGGCGACTGAGCGCCGAGACTGGGACTGAGCCCGAACCACTCCTTGCCATAAATTTTGTAAAACTATCCCCCACTATTCCTTCAGTTTCCTAATATTTTCCTGACAATATTGTTGTTTTAAATAAAGATAAATGTATTGATAAATAGCACAGATTAAAAAATAACGTTTTAAGAATACAGAACACATCAAAAATAGTTAAAACGCTAACACTAGGATGTTAGAAAAACCATGTACATTTTGTTTTAGAATAGCTGCGTACGGCTTGACTCCGCAGGAAGTGCTCGACCACGTCACACAAAACGAAGACGAGGACAAAGTTGTACGTTTGTCAATATTCTAATCAGATTTACAAGACCTAAATCAATTTCGTAAAGATCGAATTTATAATTCAATGTTTGTGGTATTCATACCATTATAATATTAAATAGCTTTCGCTCGCGTCTCCATCAATCATACAATCCATATCTATGCCAAATTTCATCGAGATCAGTTCAGCTATTTACGCTACAAACTCTAACAAACATCCATCCATGAAAACTTTCGCATTTAAGTAAGAAATGAGAATAAATAGTATTAAACGTTTACTGTCTATTAATTTCCAGGACTTCAAGAAGTATCATGATTGGTACAACGAGAACACTCTATGGGGCAAACGCGAGGTGAACAGACTCCAAGATGACAAGGATTTCTTGTTGCTGCAGCAGAAGTACATAGAAAAACAGAAGAAACGAGAAATCGCAGAGAAAAATCAAACTCCTACCACAATAGAGGAATAAAGTTCTTTAAAGATGCTACATAAAAATGTAAATTTAATGCCATTCCCTCCACTGGCTGATAGAGGCTCAGATAGCTTAAAAATGACGTAACTGTCAGATAAGGGAGCAACATCCGATATTTTTATTATTATCCATATTTTACACGTTGGATTGTTATCAGACAATTTACAATTTGGTGGGACAGGCCCTAAACCTTATATTCTTAGTTAATAGGTTTTTTTTAAATAAATATGTATATAATGTCATCAACAGATAGGGCAGTGCGGGACAGAATAAAAACGATATAGAGTGGCAATGTAATGTGTAAGGGTTGAGGGCGGGTTAGGGGCTGTAGATTGTTAGAGGGTCGACTGCGGCCGTGCGCTCAAATCGCTGACGCAGCAATTTTGTATTTCTTTATTGCACAAAAATGCTAACTTTTAATATTCGTTAGGGTGACCACGCTTTTAGGTAGGCCATTGAAAATGCACGAACATTACGAAGATATTGAAAAAACTAAATTGATTTGACTATAATTTCAAGAGAATAAAACGTAAAAGGTTATTTTTTTTCATCACATAAATTATAATCGACATTTTGACACATAACATTCTTTAACCTTAAAAAGAAAATGTTTACACAATAATTGTATTATGGTCATTCTACATTCCACCCTTTTTAATATTCATGCGGCGTATTTGGAATTAATTTGGCGAGTTTAAATATTGTGGCTCCACCGCTTATTGTTGTTTGTTCTTGCTTCTGCTGCTTCTATACACCGTTCCGTTTACATCAGAAAAACATAAACATTAGCCTATGGTACGAACTCACTGGTACCAGTTAATGTTGACATTATAATAAATAGTCAAAGACATTTAAGAAACAAATAGACTAGACTACTATGTACAAGAAATTTCCTATGAAACATTTTGTTCATCGGTAACTTCTCTGTAAGGTGCTATATCATTGCCAAGTTTAGTGCCACCTAGTGTCCTTGTATTGACATTTTGTAAAACATTTTATAAAATTATAATAAGCTCCATCTTTAGTTTTAAAATAAAGTAAACAGTGTCACAAAATAATATTAAAACATTGAAATATGCTTTAGTGACATCTATTGGCAATTTACTTAAACACAATAATTGAGTTTAAAATCGCAACAGCTCGAAATTGTACCCAAATATTATGAGATTGTGCATGATTGTTGGCAAAACTTACATTTAGCTCTTATTCTTTGTATTTCTTGTAGGTTTCTTATTTTGTTTGTACTTATTTATAAAGTACTAAAAATCCATTGATCTCAACTTCAAGTAAATATCGAAAATTGAAAAAATTTTCACTCGATTTTTCTCAATCCTCTACTAAATTGTTAAACTAATTATTCTAATTTAAACAAACTATACCAAGTGTAGTAAATTTTAGTTGAAATAAAAATGCGTAATTTAAAAACAGCATTTATTGATTTTGACCAATTTTATTACACATCAAAATACATTAAATACAGAATAACTTTGAAATTGTTTGTTTTCAAATGAATTGTAAAGTTGATATAATTTGTTAGTCTATACTAAGATATAAATTTAAAGTTTTGTATTTATTGAAAAAACTTTAAAAATTATTAAGTTAATATTCCCTAAGCACCCTGCACTGCGAGTTGCACTTGGGGAAGGTCGCAGGTGTGCGTGCGGCGGCGCCCAGCGGCAGCTGCAGCAGCTCCTCGTGGCGCAGCGTGGCGGGCTGCACGTAGCCCAGCACGTGCGCCGCGTGCTCCGAGATTATCCGCTTGCGTTCCTCTGCGCACTCACTCAACCTACAATGAGACAAAGCATTTTTGAGAAAAAAAATATAAACAGTGAACAAAATTTTTTCAACGACATGAAAAATACTATAGATATTAAAGTTCAGTGCCATCTCGTGTTCTTGTATTGACATTTGACAAAAACATTTATAGATTTAAAATAAGCGCCATCTATTGTTACAAAATAAAACCATTAAAACATTCAATGACATCTATTGACGAATGTCAATTGTCATTGGTTTCGGTGATTTATCAATAGATGGCGTTAGCGATAAAATAATGTAAGTGAAAACCGTTCCTACTCTACATATTTGAAAATCCTTGTAGAAATAATGTTAGTAGTTTAATACCGCCTTGAGTCTTCAAGATTATGATAATCATGATTTAAACATAACTGTTCCCGTGCGGAAATATCCGCGTACAATTATACATTTTAATATATCTTTCAACTTATAGTACAGCAATTTACTTTACTATTTAAGACCTATTGGCTAACAATTACTGTATCTGTGGCAATATTGTTTGCTGATATTGGCTTTTAGTTTTGTCCCTTTCTCGTATAAAATTTTTTCCTTTCAAACACCCCTTACATTAAATGTTAATTATTAAATATTTAACTTGTACCAATAATATAAATGCAAAAGTTTAGATGGATATTTGTTTTTGTAGCCTAAAATACTGAACGGATTTCTATAAAATTTGGTATAAATGTAGAGGAAGAAATGGAAGAACACGTAGGCTCCTCACTTGTTTTTTTTTTAATTCCATGCAGACGGAATCGCGTGTTAAAGCTAGTTATTATATAAATTATCCAAGTTATGTACTCACCAGGCCTTGTCGTAGTCGAACACGTAGCGCGCCTCCTCGTCCTCGTGCTGCTTCATCTTCTGCCGCCTGCTGGCATCCTCTGCCATCTGCTGCAGCAGCTGGCGGCCGTACTGCTGGCGCTGCTGGCGCTGGCGCCGCGCCTGCTGCAGCAGCTGCTGGCGCTGCTCCTCCGCCTGCGCCTCGTTCTGACGTTCAATTCATTATATTTAACTAGCTTTCGCCCGCGACCATCCGCGTGGAATTAAAAAGACGTGCTTTTTTTTATTCCACTCGGACGAAATCGCGCACAAAAGATAGTAAAAAAATAAAATTCAATCTTTTGAACTTATTCTAAGCTAATTTACACATCAGTATTAAAAGAACAGTAGAGAATATCTCTAATAATTTAGTAGGAGCCTAGTTCAGGGTGACTGTTCTACCTCTTTTCTGAAATTGGCTTCTTTCTCCTTCTGTTCCTGAGCTAGTTTCCTTCTCGCCTGTATCTGCAGCGAGAGCGCGGCCTCCGTGGCCTGCTTGCTGCGCGAGGACTTCGTCATCTCCGCTATATCCTCTTTTACGTTCTTCTCTAAATACTCCTGCTCTTGGAGACTTCGTATTATTTCTTCTCGTTCTAGAATCGCTGCCTGAAATTGTTAACAAATCTTATTTTAAATGGGGAAAGATTTTTATGTATATATTTGATTCACGTAAATATTGCGTCGATTTTAATCTTTAACAAATTATCTGTGAGTAATATAGACTTTTTTTTTCACGAGGGCGAAGTCGGGAGAAACAGCTAGTACCTAATATAGTAAAGCGTAAACACACTTCTTTGCTATTTCGGGTGATATTTTTGACTAATTCCTTTTTTATAAAAAGCCGTACATTTGCAACATACTTTAGGCTATATATGTTAATGAATGTGGGAAGGGAACAAAAAGGACAATGGGCAAAGAGGTTGCCATGGTTACCCATAAATCAGCCAATAGCAAAGTTCTTTATTAAAACATTGACGAAATGGTAAACAATAAAACACAGTTTAAATAATTAATGTGGCTGAAGCCGCATGGGAAAAGGTAGTTTCATTATAAAATATTAATTAAAAGTAATTTTATACAACTTACTCTATCAGCCATAATTTTCGCGGCAATTTTCTCGTTCAGCATCTCTCGTTCTCGGAACTTCCTCTCTCTTTCTGCGATTCTGAGGATATTACAGTATTATTAACACAAAGAAAAACACTTCAAGTGAACAAATTGTTTATAATTTGATATATAGCTCTTCAGTGATATTATAAAAAAACTTGATTTTTGTATGTAACTAATAAACTCAAAAACTACTGAACCAATTTCCAAAATTCTTTCATCACTAGAAAGCTACATTATAACTGAATGTCATAGGCTATTCTTGGTATTATTTCTTTTCAATTTTGCAAACGAAGTCGCGATCAACAGCTAGTTGTATCTATACTTTATACCATTATTATAAAAAAGTAAGATTTGTATTTTATATGTATTGAATTAACTCAGAAACTACTAGAAAAACTTCAAAAATTCTTTAACCATTAATAACTACATTATCACTAAAGTATTTTTAAAAGTTTTTGTGGAGATAAAACTATTTGTATCATAAATTCAGACAAATGCGTATAAAATGTTAACTAACATGGCCGCACTCCTGTCCCCAGCCTCTTTGATCTGGTTCTCGATGTTCCTCTCCTCGATGACGAGCAGTTTCTTCTGCTTCTCCTTCCAGGCGTCCCGAGCTCGCTTGAACGTCTCTATCTCCTTGTTCAACTTGACCGCCAGCTCGCGCTTCTCCCGCACTTCTCTGTATACATATTATTTATACTAATATAATATAGCGTAAACGCACACTACTTCAGCAATCACAGAATATTTTTGAATTATTCTTTCTTTAATAAAAAGCACTGCACTTATGACACACTTTAGGCTATATATTTTCATGCTATTAATACAAGGGAGTAAATAATTTGTAAGAACCCCTCATGTGGGACCAAAACTCCAAGCTAACATCAAGGAAGCAAGTCTGCCGTGGTAATGATAATTGTTATCCAATGTGTGGATAAACACAATTGATACTATGAGTTTTTTTTAATTCCACATATTACCTATAAGTTTGCTTTTTTTATGAGAGAAAGGGCAAACAAGCGCCGAGAACACAGAGGTTGTCAATGAAGCCCATGGACAGCCACAACAACAGAGGAACTACAGATGCATCGCCTTTTGCTTTTAAGAGTTTTTGCTTTTTACCAGTTTGCTTTAATACAACATAAATATAAATTTCCTAGTCAAAGTAAATACAAACCGGTGATCTTCATCAGCTATTGTTCTCATGACTTCTTCTAGCATCTTCTTCTCAATGAGCGTCTCCTCAAACTGGCACTGCCTCACTCTCTGCCGGTCCACCAGCTGCTGCTGCATTTCTAGAAGCAGCTTGGCCTTCTTCTCCATCGCCTCCTGCTCCTCTCTCATCACCGCTTCAGAGTCAACAGCTAATGCACTCATTAGGATTCTATTTTGTCTTCTGTCTTCCGCCTGGAAGTACAGCTTCTCCATTAATATGTTTGAAGGAGCATTTACCTGTAACTCTGCCTACATTAAATTAAAATTGCCTGTGTTCTTCCAAACTTTGCTTTACATTTTTACTAAATTTCATCACTGTCTATTCAATTATTTAAGTGAAAAACTCTAAAAAACATTAATCTATATAAACAGACTCATTATGTTGATGTACTTGCATCATCAGTGTTAAACTTACCATAAAAACTGATCCATATTTTAAGGAATACAAAATAAGAAAAAACACACTTTAAAGTTCATAATCTAATATTACTTCAAATATGGCTTCTTTTTATCATCTTAGCAATCAGTACTTACTTCGTCCTGCAATTTCTTGTACTTATTATGCAGCATTTGCTGCTTCAAGTCCCTGCAGACGTAGCCATCCTGCAGCCTTCGCAGTAGTGTCCTCAGCTCCGGGTCTCGTTCTCTAAGGTAGTGTCGGCGCTGCAGCTGACTGATCTCCTCCTGGTTATGTTTAGCTATCTCACTAGCGAGGGCTATCTCTTTCTGTGTTCTAGCGTTCACCAATGCTGAATGATCTGTTCTCTACAATTAATGACACTTTTGGCTACTTTTAAAGTTAAGAAGTTGTATTTATACATAGGGACTATTTTAGGTCATTTCTAATGTATGTGATTAATTTTTAGTATACCTCTTGAAAATCTCTCTCCATTGCAGCCTCTTGTTTTATCTGCGCTAGATGCCGGCCGATGTGGCTATCGTCCATCCGACTGTTTAGCCATTGGATGTCCAGCGCACGTTGGTATGTCTCCAACTCCTTCCTCCTCGCGAAAGCGATCTCATTTCTTTGTAGTTCAGTCTTTGGCTCCTGTAATAAAATGTAATACTTTTATAACGTACAATTCGTACAATTGGAAATAAAGCAATGTATATACTACCATGATAATATGATAATTAAAATTGCATTGATGAAAAAAGTTAAAGTATTTACATTTATGGAAAAAAGAATGTCTTTGTGATATACAAATTCTAAATTTGAAAGTTTACAATTTTAAATCAACAATGAAACTTGACAGTTGACGCTGGTTTGGTTATGGCAAGTGTAGGTTTGTGGTTTTTATAACTATAGAGGCATTTTTTTTCACGAGTCATTGATTGGGGCATTTTGAGTAAAACTTGGTAAAAATTAAAAAAATTAATGACTTCCATGCTGCTTTTTGATTTTTTTTTGCTGACAGTCTTTTCAACCACGAAAATACTCGAAGAAAATTAATTTTATGCTGGCAGCATTTTTGTCTATGGTTTTATTCGATTTAGTAAACTGACATCTATCGGCAGATTTGGCACTTTGCCAATGTTGGTGCACAACGCCATCTAACGATGGAATTCGGCACAATGATCGTGATTTCTTCTCAATTCGTGTCGGATAGGAGAGTGGGAGTCACGTCACGCCAGTGCAATCCTACGGCATTCGAGTTTTGACGTGTGACAGCAAACTGCAACTGTATCTGTTGCAGACTGGTGTGTACGATTTTATTAACTGTCGGTAATGAAAAAGTGAGAGAAATGGCAGAAAGTAAAGGTGCGTTAATTGCGAAAACAGTGCAAAAACATGCTGGACGGGCGAAGGAAAAGGTATTTATTGTTTGTTATTTGAATAGTGAGAAGAGTTTGATGGTGTTGGTGTGAAAATATTTGCTTGTGTCGTGAAAGTAGCCTGTGGGGAATCAGCCGACCTGTGGTAATTCTGGTTCCGATATCCCGCGGCGCCTCTAAGTTACGTCCTATCCACCTGTTGCTTCTGAGGCTTTGAAGCGGCGATCGTGATTGAACGTTTTTGTACATCGTGTTTACTCAGACTCAGCTGACTTGATTCTCTGCAAGACGTTTATCGCGAGCGCCCGCCTTATCAATTCCAGGGTATTGGCAGTGACTATTTTTAGTTTGCTGCAGACGAGATAAATTTGGATAGTACCAGCCTGGGTACACAAAAATTTTATACATTAATGCTTTTACATGATAAATATCTCTATAATTCCTTTAAATATGTCAATGTGTTCTAAATATAACAATGTGATATTTAGGAAAGTGTTCCAAATTTTATAAATAACCCATTTGGTAGCAACTGTGAGCTAAAAACAGAAGGAGAGGGACACATGGTGTGTCTTGGGTGATCAAAATGTTATTTGACGTGTTAATTATAATTTTTAATTCTTGACAATTTCTTTAAACAATACAGTTTATCAACAAATGTATACTCATATTATTAAAGTTATGTAGTAAAATGTATGCACATGCACACAATAATCTACATTGTAGGCTGTTGACCTATTCTGGCAGCCAGCCCGTTGTTCTAATATACATTACAAATTGTAGTAAATGGTCATTCGCTCACATGCCTTTGGAAGAAAACTAAAAAACAACTGGATATGAACAATTAACTTTAGATATGTTTAATTTTTGCTATAGACAATAAATTAATTCTTATAGGTATTAGGGTGACATAAATATTTAAGCAAAATAACTTTAATACTCTGAAAATTATTTATTGAGGAATTTTAGGTAAGTTTCAACCTACAAGTAAAGCTTCATTAGTGAAATAGTTTTTTAATGATGCATTAGTGATTGACATAAATTGTTATTCTTCTAAAAAATTGACAAGAAAATAATAATATACAAGTTGTTGTATTGTATTCTACAATTTATAAATCAACAAAACAAATTAATGTAAAATGGACACTGATTATTTAGTGATATAATCTAGGCTACTAAATGAAATCTAATTTTTCTATGTAATTCACTGATCTAATTAAAAATAGAGCCCCCGGAGATCACCAGCAACATAAAGGGTTTGCTGGGGTTCTTCTGAGAGGTTGGCTGGAGTAATCCAGGTCCTGTTCCTTTACTGTGGCCCATACTATTACTTAAAAATAGGGCTAACATAATTCCCTTTTCTTAACTTTCTAAGAAACATAATTGACTGTAATTATATGTCATTGTTAGTTAGTTAATAATGGCATATTTTTATAATATTTGATTATCTTTTGTCCTCAACTGTTTACACAGAATTAAAAAAAACTTTGAAAGTAACCATGTGTTCTTAATGTTCTATCTTTGTATCGAATTTCATTGAGAACTATTGAGGTTTTCTGGATATATCTTCTAACATCCATCCATTTAAATTTTCTTTGATAGTAATATGTGAAGTGTAAAACCTTGACATCAACTTAGCTGATAGTCTTATGTCATCAATGCCCTAGTTTTTAAGTATAAGTTATTTACATTAGCTCTCCTTTACAAACTGTACAGTTTGATCGTTTGTAAATTTCATTAGCTTAACGGCTTCGTCCATGTGGTATTAAAAAAAAAAACAACAAAACTAAGTAGCCTATATGTTCTTCCTGACTATCTTCTAAATCTATGTTAAATTTCATCGAATCTATTCATCCGTTTAGGCTACAATCTCTAACAAACATCCATCCATCTAAACTTTCGTATTTATATTAGTATTAGTATGTTTTATGTGGAGATACATATTTTACAATTACTGCTTTTTTTATCTGTAAAAATTTAAATACATAAAAATGTCGTTTTTTTATCAGTAGGGAATTAAGGTTATTCATTAAAAAATCAGGTATTTAATAATGATGTTATAGTCTTTATTATGTTAATGAATCCGAGTTGCGACAGAAAAGTAATGTTGTGAGGGATATTGCTCGCCGTAATTTGAGCCTCTGTCGTCATATTGTAATGTTACCAAGCGATATAATAATTTATAGATAATATAACCTAATTGCTTAGTTCCAAAGTTTACCTAACTTGCAATATACCTAAGATACATCTAGTATAAGATCCCTTTATCAGGCTTTCAGAAGGTTTGTTTCGTGATGTTGGTGTTTTTGATATAATAAGTTTTAAACGATTAATATAATTGTAACTAGCGATATTAATTTAAACACTCCGCTGGAGAAGTCGTCAGGAATGCGCGCGAATATAATCCTTCTAATGACATTGACAGCTGTCAGCTAGGGACGTGACGTTTATGCCGACAATCTAGTGTTGCGCCAATTCTACAGCACGGTACTAATTTTCTTATTACGAACAAGCAGTCACCAGAATTCGCCGAAATTGCGAAGCGACCTCTGCTTGTAGACATCAGATGCGGTGCCTACCTTTGATATACGAATCATTTAATACAATAGTAAAGATATTTACGTTTTCAATTACTTCTACAGGTTTATTGACACGCGCGGCAATTTTCCTCAAAAGTAGCAGGAAAATAAAGTTTTACTACTAAAAATATACTTCAATCAATGAAACAAAACAATTGCTAGAGTTAAAATTGTTAAAAAAATACCTTGTTAAAGAAATTGACACGTCTCGTACTCTGTTATATCTGTTTATATCGATTAGGGCTTATCTTAGTCTCAAAGTTAACCTTTACCCGCCCTCTAATAGACCTCAGTTAACCCTTTGTTAATCACCTCGCGATAGTTGCACTCTCGATGTTAACAAAGGTCACAAACTCTTGACTAATTTCTACGAGTTCAAAACAACCATACATTCAAGTAAACGTGATCCTAAACGACCTCAACATTCATACTTAGTTTTAGTTCAATTTATTAATAAGAATTCGTACCTAGTTTATTAGAAAGAAAAAAACTTTTTAATAAAAAAACAAAACCGACTTCCAAACAAAATACACTAAAACAAAACAAAATGCACTAAAAACAAAACAAAATATTCTCA